GAGAGAGAGAGAGAGAGAGAGAGAGAGAGAGAGAGAGAGAGAGAGAGAGAGAGAGAGAGAGAGAGAGAGAGAGAGAGAGAGAGAGTCAAAATGTCCAGGTTGACATATGTGTTACATGCTGAGCCTGCACACGGGCCCCGTTTCAGGGGCCCGATGGTTCCTGGGGGGTCCCAGGCCGCACGCCATTCCAGGCATGCGCCCTGGAGGCCCACGGCCAGCCTATGGGCCGCAAAGTTCGATTAGAGGCAGCATTTATTTATTTATTTGCTGTTCTATTTTTGTCTGTTTCAGGCCTCATTTCGGACTCGTGCATCCAAACAGACACACGATCTGTTCGGACCAAGGCCACGTTTTGGGCCTTCTCCATTTGTGGCCAGGCCCGTTAGGGCCAGGTTCAGTTTCGTCCGGTAGCGGACACTCCCAGCTGCATCAGCAGGAACGGCCTGGCCGTCCGGTAGGGACCCGGGCAGGCCATTTCAGGCCAGGACCAGGGCATACCTGCCAGGCCCAGCGCTATACATAGCTGGGCCAGGCCAGGGCCCACACACAGTTCGAGTAGCTCACTTCTGGAGTGACACGCTGCTGGAGCAGCGCGATACAGTACTGCACTAGAGGTAGAGGAGTTGGCAGGGAGAGAGAGAGAGGTGGTGGCCATACCTGCATCGGCGGAGTACTTACCTGGGCGCCATAGCTGGCCAGCGACCTGCAGCACAGAGAGAGACACGTCGGCGCGTTAGTACATGGCGGCAGTTACCTGTAGGTGAGACAGCCAGGAGGACGACATCTTCTTCTCCTTCCTGGTCTTGCCCTCCATCTCTTCTTCTTCTTCCTCCTCCTCCTCCTTCTTCTTCTTCTTCTTCTTCTTCTTCTTCTTCTTCTTCTTCTTCTTCTTCTTTCAGAGAGAGAGAGAGAGAGAGAGAGAGAGAGAGAGAGAGAGAATACAGGCAGAGGTTATGTCGGGCTATGAGGTCCAGGATCTGATTCGACATTTTTGCGGCAGACATTGATTGGACATTCGGCAGGGAGACTATTTTTGGACTTCGCTATCGCGATCTTGGTCTTCTCCCTCACCTCCATCTTCGTCTCGCCCCTCCTCCCTCACCTCATCTGTGGTATCTCCCCATGTGCGTATTCAAGGAGGGACCTTTCCTTCTATGTATGTGGTCCCTCTCTTCTCTCTCACATGTGTGATCAGGTCATATCTTTGAGTCTTCCGCTGCGCTACATTGTGCTATTTTTGTATGTATCTGAATGTACATTGCTTGTTGATGCTTCGCTGATGCTGCATTGTCCATTCAAGTCCTTTTTATCACTTTGCGGATCTTTGGCTCCATATGCATCGCTCGATCGAGCATGTATCACATAGTGAGTATTAGTGACACATTTGTTCAGCAGAGACCCAAAGAACTGTGAAAAAACTACAAGATCCAAAAGGACTACCAAATAGCTTATTCACTTTTCTGCTGGAAAGACGTGCAAATACATCTGTCATCCACTAGAATTTGGCATAAATACCAACAAATTTTAACAGATTTTAACAAACTTTGACAAAGAATATTTCACTTTATTTGCCTCCAAGCCTAGAACGGACATTACACTTTGGGCATACTCACACTAGGCCCTCAAAATCACAAAATCACAAAATCAGTGGCCAGATCTAGTCCTTCCTCTACAACGACTCAATCTGGCAGCTCATTTTGTGATTTTGAGAGTTTGAGGGCCTAGTGTGAGTATGCTCTTTCACTACTTTTTCTGAGAGGACTTTACAGGCAATGAAGTTTATTAAACTGATCAGATTGAATACTACACTTCTACTACTTACTGCGCAAAATTTTGAAAACCAATCCTTTTAAAATGAAGAAATTCTAGTAGCGTTATTTTCCCAGGGTTCTGTTCCATTGTCAAAGTCCTTTTTCGGTGTTTTGGCAAACTGGTCAACACCACTCTTGAAGCAAGAAGAGAGTTGTTTCAGAATGCCAAGTGCTGGTGTGTCATGCCAGAAGTCACGGGTTCAAGTCCCGTTTTTCCCGGGAGGTATGACTGAGTGGCTAAGGCATTGGTTTGCTAAATCAACATACAACGAGATTGTATAATGGGTTAAAATCCCATTTCCTCCATTCCATTGGGGCCACAGCCCCAACCGCCGACCATTTCGCAGCCGACCGGCAGGGCCAACTGGTCGGCGATCTGCTGACCAGCCAGTAAACAGCAGTCCACTGATTTTTTTTTATAAGACTATGGGGCTGTACTGCGCTTGCAGAGTACAGCCCAAATCCGCTGAGAAACTTTTGGGAATTGTGGGGAGGGGGGAGGTACGGGGGTGTATAGAGGGCATTTGGGGGGGGTATGAGGGTGTTGGGGGGTGGTTTAGGGGTGTTGGGAGGGTGTATAGGGGTGTTAGTGGGGTTACTGGGGGTTATGGACTCGATTTTATTTATTTATTTATTTTTGTCGGGTGCCAACGACCCCTGACCGGTAGGTGCCGACCAGCCGACCGGTCGGCTGGTCAGGAGCCGACCAATGGAGGGGCGCCACCGCCGCGCCAGCCGTCAGCCTGTGCAACTCTGAGTATGACATTATTGGTTCAAGTCCGATCGTCTCCAGACAACTTTCCCAGTGAGCCCATGTAGCTCAGGTGGTCGAGCATTCCCTTATATATTATACGTATATATCGTTAAACAGAACTGCCTGGTAAACCGTAAGCAAAGAGGGAGGAAAGGACAACAAACGAGGTGCTGTGACAAACTGTTTCGTCGGAGTTTCACTCAACTCATCAGGAGGCTGAGCCCTTTACAGTCTGCAAGTCCCCTAGCTGATTACACTGTAAGTGATAATCAACCTTAACCCCGGTTGTGGTCAAGCATCGATGACTGCCCAACAACTGATACCTTGAGGTGGGCACCAACCAGTGCCCTCAAGGTACCTGTGAGAAAAATCAAAGCAGACTATCACTCACCCCCACCAGATGGAAAACTCTACAGACTGCAGGTTCACAACCCATCACACGCCAGCAAAACACCCATGAAACAAAGAAAGGTCTGTCACAGCCAGAACATACACTCCAGACATGCCGCTGGCACTAGAGGCACAGCATGGCCACGTAGTGACAGCCCCAATCACTGACACTCAACCTGACCGGAGAAAACCGTAGCAGGGTGCTATCGAATCTGTGGTATCTTCTCCCTCTCTGCCTACGGTTTACTAGGCAGTTCTCTATGACGATATATACTACGACTTTGCTAACTTTTTGCTACGGTTGTCTCCCGTCAGATTGAATGGCAG